GGGGGGGGGGGGGGGGGGGACATGCCACGCACCGGCCGGCCGGTCAAGATACCACCCCTCGGCGCACCCGGCGCACAGGTGATCCGGCGATGTGAAGGGCGACTCGGCGTGGCCCGCGGCGCAGGTCCACCCGGCCGGCGAGCCGGTCGTCACGGTGTCACTGTCGCACCGGATGCTGCCATCCTCCTGGCAGCCAAAGGTCCGGGCCTCGAAGAGCACCAACTCCCCGAAGACCAAGGCCCAGATGCCGGTGGAGTTGAGGCCCACCCGGAGCTGGACCAGTTGCAAGTCCCAGACATTGTCCACAACCGGCGGCAGGATCACCCGGCGCCAGGACAGCTGGGCATCCTGGCTGGTGAGCCGCCACAGCCGGTCGCGCGGATCCCCCACGTCGGGCACCACCAGGTAGACGGGCTGCGGGTGGTTGCCGGTGGCGGCCGCCGGGGCCGCCAGCAGCCAACCGCCGGACGCCGGCAGCCCGGTCGGCAACTCGAGGAACACCGTGCCGGAGCCCTGCAGTATGCCGGCGCACGGCTCCATGCTCAGTTGGCCATTGGCCAGGAGCATGACCAAATCCCCGGACAGCTGGCAGTCGCCGATCGGCGGCACGACCCGCGTGACAACCGCGCTCAGGATGTCCGCCTCCATGGAGCTGGCGGACCAGGGCACCGACCCCTGCTGGTCGACTGCCAGCCGCAGGATGTTCGGGCCCCAGTACATGTAGAAGGAGCCCCTGATGCCGGGGACCGCCTGCGCCGAGCCCATGAAGGTCGGCAGTTCGTGGCTCACCGGGTCCAGCCCGTCCCGGTGCAGGGTGCCCAGGTAGATGGACTGGCTCTGGCCCGGCATGCCGGTCGCGCCCAGCAGCAGGACCTCCCCCTCCGAGAAGGCCACCCCGGCCAGGAGCTCGGTGTTCGGCACCGGCAGCGGGTGTTCCTCGGCGTGCGTCCAGAAGCCGACCGTGTGCGGCGTAACTGCCACCAGGGTCGGCAGGGTCCCGTCCAGCGGCGCCAGCGCCATGACCGAGAGGCTGCCGGGGCAGTCCGGCCGCCCGCAGGACAGGACGTATGACGCGCTGCCGAAGAAGACGCCCCAGCGGACCTCCGGCAGCTTGTCCAGCAGGTCAATCTGCGGCATGAGGTTGAACGTCGAATCCGACACTCGCGCCATGGCCATCGAGTGGCTCCCGGGCCCGGTGGGGAAGGTATACGGCCCGGGGGCCAGGCTGACCGGGCGCGGGGCCGCATGCAGGAAGAGGTCTTGCCCGTGCGAGGACCCCGCCGTCAGCACGAGCTGCGGCAGCAGCAGCAGCAGCAGCGTGAGGAGGAGGAGCGGCGCCGGTGGCGCCCGCGGGGCTGGGGCTGGGCCCGGCATGGGGGGGGGGGGGGCTACCGGACCGTCGACGGGCGGGATCGCTGGCCTGTGCGTGTGTAGATGTGTGGATGCGTGTGGGTGTGTGTGTAGATGTGTGGATGCGTGTGTAGATGTGTGGATGCGTGTGTAGATGTGTGGATGCGTGTGGGTGTGTATGCTTATGTGTGTCCGCGTATGCGCGTGTGTCCGCGTATGCGCGTGTGTCCGCGTATGTGTAGGCGCGTGTGCGTTCACCGGGGGAGGAGTCCAGCAGGAGGAGCCCGAGCCAGCGAGCAGAGGCCGCGCCGATGAACAGAGACCCGGGCTGGCCGGCGACAGGGCGGGGCGAGGCCGGTGGGAGGCAGGGAGGAAAGAAGGGGGGGAGAGGGGTGCTTCAGCGCCTGACGAGCAAGGCCAGCGCCTCGCCGGTCCGCTTTCGCTGTCCCGCCATATGCCCCCCCCCCGGGAGAGGGGGCCCGGCCCGGGGTTCGTGCGGGCGCGCGTGTTCGGCGCGCGGAAAAATAGGCCCAGGCCGGGCCCCGGCGCCACGGGGCCGGCAGACCGGGCGCCGGGGCCCCGGCCCGGCGGCCGCGCATCCACCCCTAGCTGCTCGTCGGTCAGCGGAGTCGTTCGGGCCCGCGGCGCGCGCCCAGACGCAGAGGGGCACCGCGGACGAGTATTTTCCACCGGGCACCGCCACGCCGGCCCACACAGCGGGCTCCTGAAACATGTCTCTGCCTTGTTGCAGGCCGGTGCGGCGTGCGGGGTGCCACACGCGCACGCCCGGCTGTGCGGTGGCACCCGCCCGGGGGAGATGCCCACGGGCGGATGTCCCCCGGCCATGGGCCCGGGCGAGGGCCGGGCCGTGGCGGCCGGCCGGCATCGGGGCCCTCCATGCGGCCGCACGCTGGCGCATCGGGGGCGGCGCCGCGACGGGCGTCTCCTTGCCCGGCTTGCCCGGCGCCCGGCCAGCGGCGATTGGCGCTGGGTCGCGCCCCGGCCGGCCGGCCGGTGGATCGCCCCCCGTCCCCTGCCGGGACGCCGGCGCGAGGTGACACCCCCGACGAGGGGGGGGACCGCGCGGCCTGGGGCTGCCCGGCCGCGCCCCTGCCCACCGCGGTCCCCGGGGGCTCTTCGTGCCTGCCCGCCGGCGCCGGCCCGCGCCCCGCCAGCACCACCACGGCCCGGGGGGTGCCACGCCCAGGGCCCGGAAGCGCTGGACCGCCCCCGCCACAAACAAGGGCACCTCCCCCCCCCCCCCCGTGTGGTCCGACGTCGGGGCCTCCGCGCCGGGCGGGTGTCCGCCCGTGCCGGCGCATGGTGCCCGGGCACTGGCCCACTGCCGCCGCCACGGACCGGACGCCGCTCACCGAATCCCCCCCTCACCCCCTCGGACGGCCGGCGTCACCGCACAGGCCCGAGCACGCGCGCCGCTCCTGCGGGCCGCCGGGCCTCCGTGAAAAGCGGCCAGGGCCCCACCGAGCGGCGGGAGGCGCAGGCGGCAGACCCGGGCCCGTCGCCGCCGGGCGCCCCCGTGAGCAGGGCATCCGACGCGGCGCCGGTGCCCCGGCCTGGGTTCGAGCCGCCCAGCGGCCCAGGATGCCGGCGGCGCCGCACGCCCAGACGCAGGCACCCCCCGCCGGGGCACGAGTGGGGCCCGCCCGGGCCGGGCGCCAGGGCACGAGGCAGGACCCCTCCCGCCGGGGCACATGCCCTCCGCGCCCTCGGAGGGCATGCCGCCGCTGGGACTTGGCCGCGGCCGCCGGGGCCCCCTCGCCGGCACACGGCACGACGGAAAAGCGAGCACGGCGACCGGGCTGCCCTCCGACAGTGGCGGCTGCTGCTGCTGCTGCTGCTGGACCAGAAAACCTCCGGCCGCAGCCCTCCAGGACCCCTGCTGGCAGGGCCGCCACGCCCGGCAAGCCCGTCAAGAGGGCTCACGCCTCCGGGTCCGGCACGCCCCCCTGGCCCGGCCGACGAAAGCGCACCCGGCACATTCCGCCGCGAGGGGGGCCCGGTCGGCAGGCGGCGCCCGGCCACCAGGGGCACCGGGACCAGGCGAGCATGTGCCGCGCGCGCGCGCACACACACACATAGGACTCGGCGGAGGTGGCATCGGTCAAGGCAGGGGAGGGGCCCCCTCCCCGCGCACGGCCGCCGTCCGGGCTGGGGGGGCCTGTGGCCCCGAGCGGCCGTGCGCCGCCCCGGCCAGGTGCACGGTCTCCAGGCCGACCAGGCCGGGGCCGGGAATGCCTTCGAGCGGGGCCGCGCCGGGCCCTCCCTCCGGAAGGGACCCCTCCGCGAGGGCCGGCAAGCGCCAGCCGGCGAGCCGGCACAGCAGCCACGCCGGCCCGGTGTCCCGTCTTCCGGGAGGGGCACCGTGCCGGCCGCCGGGCCCGGGCTCCCCGACACACCGGCCGAAGGAAGCCACCCGGCCACCGGCCCATCCGCCCGGCCCCGGGAGGCGCAGAGCACGACAGGCACCGGCATGGCAAGCATGCGGGCCCCGCATGGCCCCGCGGCAGCCCGCACGGCACAAGGGACCCCGGGCGCCAGCAGCACGCAGGCAGGCAGGCAGGCAGGCACCGCGCCTCCGCACGGGTGACATTGTGTGTATTCCCGCGGAGGACGAAAAAAGCCACACACACAAACACACACGCAGGCAGGCACCGCGCCTCCGCACGGGCGACACCTACGTATCACCTTCTCCTCGCGGAGCCGAATCCCCAGTCTTGACCTCCAGAACGAGCATTTGGCTTTGCCAATCGTTCCGAACCACCGGAGGGGGTATATTCTAACGTATAATAAATATCGGCTTTTCCGGTATCCGGCCGGTATTTTGCTCGCGTCAGCCCCTTCCTCCGGCCGCGCCCCGCCGGCTGTCACTCGGGTGCGCCATTTGCGGATGGCCCCCCCCCCCTGTGCATTGGCCCTTCGCCGCAGGTCGTGTAGCCCTCGATCTCGCGCCCCGGCGCAATGCACCGGCCCCGGCCGTGGAGGGCTGTCCGCACGGGAGGGCCGGATGTGCCACCGGCCGCACGGCATCGGCCAGCGCCCGCGGGGGCCCAAGGTACGCGATGCCCGGCGCCCGGCGGCGCCATCCGCCGTGCCGGCCGATGTCCCTGGGCGCCCGGCACCGGACGGAGCGGGCTGCATCTCGATGGCCGGGGCGCGGGTGGCGTCCCTCGCCATGAGGTGCCGACGGTGCGCGGCCGCCCGCCGGGGCCGCCCTGCCCAGCTCTGGGCACGCCTACACCCGCGCCCGGCCGCGCCCATGCACCCTCGCCCCCCGCGAGGCTGGTGCTCGACGGCGCACCAGTCAGGGAGGGGGGGCTCGAGCGCCCTCCGCCGCGCCCGTGGGCATGGTCGGCGCCCGGGCCCAATTCCCTGGATCGCCGCGGCGCCCGTTTCGCCGAACAAAACACGCCTGTGGGGCCGCGGCCCCGTGTGCTCCTCGCCGGGCGGCCGGTCACCGTGCCGGGGAGTTGGCCCGCCCCGGCTGCCCGGACCCTGCCCGCCGGGTCCCCCCGCCGGAGCCTTGGCGGGGGCAGCCTGGCATGTCGCCCATAGGGGCGGGGCCGCTCTCGCCCGGGTTGCACGAGCGTGGCCAGCCGCACACACGCCGGATGGCCGGTCGACCGCAGGCCGGCGATGCCCTCGCGCCCTCTGGCCCCAGGCGCATCCCCGGGGCACGGTCGCCGGGCGTCAAAGCCGCCGCCCGGGCGCCGGGCTCGGGCGTCTCCAGCCCCGGGTGCTGGACCGGCGGCCCCGGCACCGCCGAGCACGTGGCCGGCCCGCTGGCCGCGAGCGTTCCTGCGTCCTTGCCGTGGATGAGGGCAGCCCGCCCGCCCGCCCGCCCGCCCGCCCGCCCGCCCGGCCGAGCCACGCCGCTCCGAGCCGACGCGCCGGGCGGCCCTGCACACGCGCACGCGCGCGCACACCAGCCGCACTGTCACTGCCCCCGGGCGCCGGCCGGTGCTCGCGCCAGGCACAAAATGAAACACCCACACACATACACCCGCACGCGGAAACACGCCCACCACTCCGCGGCCCGGGCACAGCGGGGCCCGCCGCGGCGGTCCGAGCCGGAGGGGCGACAGCCCTCGCGCCAGGGCCCAGGGTCGCGTCGCCCCGACAACGAAAGGCACGCCGGGCGCATGCCGGCGCACCGGGCCCGGTGGCCCCCCGCCGCCTGCCCTCCGCGACCGAGGGCCCCCCCCCCATGCTCTTGGTGGCACTGTGCGCGAGCTCGGCAGGCGAGCGGCCCGGCCGCGCCCCGTCGCGTCCCCCCCCCCCGGCCACAGGCCGGCACCATGATCGCGCAGGCGCGGTGTATTCGCACGGTAACTCACATGTGGGCGGCCTCCTGCCCCTTCCTTCCAGGCGCCCCGGCGGCCGGGCGGCCTAGGCATCGGCATCCATTTCCTGCGGCTCCACGCGGAAGGACAGATACAGGAAGGTCGGGTTGTGGTTCTCCTTGAAGTAGATGCCGCGATAAAGCAGGTCCGTGGCCAGGGCGATGTGGATGCGGTTGAGGCGCTTGGTGGCCGTGCTGTACACCGACAGCGGGGCCGAGCCGGTGATGATGCTCATGATCTGGAAGCGCCCGGTGTGGTTGGCCACCCGCTGCAGGCGCTGGATGGCGAAGAGCAAGTAAACCAGGGCTGCGCGCCGCGGGCGGTCGCCCCACCGGCCGGGGTCGATGTGCCGGTCGCCGGCCCCCCCACGCCCCCCGGGACCGGGCCGAATTCGGACGCCTGTCAGTACGTGCCGGCGGAGTGCCCGATGATTAAGGGGAGCCCCCCCCCCCCCGGCCCGGCCCGGCCGGCCGACAAGTGTGCGCACCCTCCACCAGGTGCAGCCCCTGGAAGTCCGCCACCCGGGGAAGCTTGTCCAGGATCCGCTCGAAGTCCCACTCGAGGTTGCGGCATTTGAAGATCTCGCGCCCTGACTGCCACCGGGCGAGCCGCTGCATACGTGGTCGGGCAAAGGGGGCGGAAGCGGGCACAGTGTCAGGCATGCGGGCAAACAGGGGGCGCCGGGCCGGCCGCACGCACCAACTCCAGCCGGGCCTGCTGCAGGGCCTCCACGTCCAGGGGCTCCGTGTTGCACAGCTTGTCGTAGTTCTCTTGCATGGCCTCCAGCGGCTTGCGCAGCCTCGTGTACAGCGTCTGCACGGACGACGGCGAGGGCCGCCAGTGGAGCACCCGGTCGGGCAGCTCGGAGATGAGGCCGTCCGTGCGGCGCTGGTCCAGGAGCTTCAGGATGTGCTTGATGTTGCTCGCGGTGTAGCACAGGTACATGCCCGGGCTGTCGCGATTGTATGCCGTCATGATGAACCGCTCGAAGGAGGGGCCCAGGTGCAGCGGGGCTGGCGGCGGGTCGGCCTTCGAGTCGAGCTCCTGCGAGCCTGCCTCGCCGGCGTCGGCCGGGTCCGGCCCCGGCGGGGCCTTGGGGTCCGCCGCGCCGGGCAGCTCCCCCTGGTGGGGTTCCTGCACGTGGCCGGCCTCGGCCGTGGGGCCGGCCGGCTGCTCCTCGCCCGGGGGCCGGACCGCCGCCCGCGCGCCCCACGGCGACTGCCCGAGCACGGTCGAGATCGGCACGAACTTCTGGCGCCGGGCGGCCCGGGGTGCCAGCAGCGGGCTGGTGCCGCCCGGGGCCGCGGCCTCCGGTGTCGGCTCGGCCGCCGGCGTCGGCGACGCAGGGGCCGGGGGGCTGGCCGCCGGGGCCGGCTCGGTCTCGCGCGGCCGGGCCGGCCGGACCGTCGGCCGGCTGTCCTCCGCCTCCACCGGCAGCGTCTCATAATGTGTATACAGGCAGCGGTCCTCGAAGCGGCACCATCCCTCGGTCAGGTAGGTGTGGCAGGGGTCTGCGCGCCGGGGGGCGGGTCAGCGGCTGCGTGCGGCTGCGGGGTCTATTTGTGCTGATGTGTGCGCGCGCGGGCGCGCGTAGCCGGGCGGCCCGGCGCCGGCGGAAGGGCGCCCCAACGTACTGCGCGAAACGTCCACCATCGAGGTGCTCCCGGGCACGCCCACCGAACGGGGGTCCAGCTTGATCTTGTGGTCGTACAGGCAGCTGTCCATGCGGTCGCACCATCCCTCCATGAGGAAGGTATTGCAGGGTTCTTCGTGGGCGCGAGGCGTGTGTGTGTGTGTGTGTGTGTGTGTGTGTGTGTGTGTGTGTGTGTGTGTGTGTGTGTGTGTGTGTGTGTGTGTGTGTGCGTGCGGGTCAGTATGGCCGGCCGCGGCCGAGGGCGAGACAGCGAGCCAGGCCGCCCGGTGGCCCAGCCCCATGCCGGAGGGAGGCGCGGGCACCGGGGGCCGCGGCGAGATGGCCCGGCTTCCCGGCCCCAGGGGGACGTACTGCCGAGTTTGGCCCGGGGCGGGAAGAACACCGGCGGGGGGGCCGCCGGCGCCTCCGGGATGATGACCAGGGTGTTGCCCGAGCGCTGGGCCGGCTTGCGCGGGGCGGCCTGCCCCGGCTCCGGGCCCGGGGCCTCCGGGATGCTTGCCGGGCGCAGGGTGACCAGGTTGCTGGCGGCCGGCCGGCGGGCCACAATGCCGAAGGGCCGGGCCACGATGTTCTTGGCCAGCTCCTCGGCGTCGGCCTGGCCGCGTGCGAGGGGTCAGCACCCGGCTTCGGGTCGGGCCCTCGGGGCATGGGCGGCGGGCGCGTACCTGCGGGATGCCGAGCGGCGTCATGCACGAGATGATGGCCTCGCGCGCGGCGAGGGCATTTTTGCCGTCCTTCAGCGAGTCGAAGAGGCTCTTCCACACGTCCTCGAGCAGTTGCTGCCGGCGGCCGGGTGCGGGCGTGTGAGTGGCCGGCGGAAGGAAGCCCTCGGCCGGGCCCGGGGGCCAGCGGCCGCGGCATGTCGGCAGGCGCGTGCGAGTGCGTGTGTGCGCGTACATGGAAGGTGCAGCCCGGCGACAGGGTGTTGCCTGCCGGCACCAGGATGTCGAACAGCCATTCGGGAGCCATCTTGCAGTGTAGCGGGGACAGGTGGAGGGCGGGGGTGAGGCGGGGGGTTCGGGAAATCCGGCGATTTCCTGGGGGT